ATCCATGAGAACTGCTAAAAGGATGTCAAAGACATCATCCAGGTCAGATGAGACAAGCCAAGAACAATGTACATGCTCCAGAGGCACAGGAGTTTTTAATCCAGAAAACACTTCTGGAGGTGAAGCTCTGTGGTTGCCCCTAAATTGCTGTTCCTGAAGCTTCTAGCAAGCCCAAGTTCACATCATCAGTGTCCACAGAGTCTATTCCAGGGAACAATTTTGGGATCAGCTTGTGAACGCAGGTTGGGCAGACAGGGCTTATCCATGGCCATTATGGAGCTTACTTGGTGTACCAAAAAAAATAGAGTCTCCTGCGAGCCAGCCATCTTTACCCACAAGAAGCAGTACAATAAAGGTTAAAAAACCAAATTTAAAAAATTCAAGATAACTCCCACCAACCTTTTTTGCACTTTCATGGCTAGACATCATCCAACAGATCTACAGGCCAAGCCCAAATCATCCAAGAGCTCTTGGAGAGCCCTTGCCCAAGAGCATTACTGTTTCCATGTACTCAGACAGGATTCAACAGCTACATTCTTCATCATAGTTTAGTTCAAGAAGAGCTATTTCTAATCAAATCCACACCTGGTTGTTACACGTGGCCAACAGAGAGAAATCCTGAGCATGGTCTCATAAGTCAGTGACTCTTCCTAAAACTCACAGATAAGGACTTAACAGGAGCTCAAAGAGGAATTTCTAAGAGCTTGAGCTGCTGAAGAGTGGGCAGTTAATACAGCTGATGTGCACACTGCCCACGGCAGTCATGTACAGGGCATGTTGCTACCTCTCCAATGTACCATGAAGTGTTACAAGGTGGGAAGGGAGGAGCTCCTGACAGCCACCCTCCTGTCCTGACCCTGCAGACCTCCACAAAAGAAGCCCTGCTCCCTGCTCATCAGTTGTGCTGTCTCAAATCCCTACCACCACTGCAATCCACTGGTGACCCAGGAGGCACCAGGGGGCTGAGCAGCATTCAAGACACCTGCATGAGGGATGGTGGCAAGAACATCGATGCAGTCACTCGGTGCCGACATCAAATGACTGCAACATTCACCTCGGCACTGGAAATGGTTTTTCCAAAGCCTTCTCCAGCCCCCCTGGGAAGTGCTACTACAGCAGCTCGTGCTCCTTGCTCCCCTCCCACCATCACAGATGGTCTGCCCAGCACTCCTCCTGGAGAAGCCTTTCCACCTCACCCTTTTGTCTGTCTATGCTGCGAAGCAGAAGCAGCTAATCAACCCTGCTCCACTCCCGCAGGACTCTCCAGATAGGATGGGTTTGTGTTACTACCCTGTTTTCCAAGGGCAAGCCTGCTGTCTGTGTGAAGCCCCACTATCTGTGCTAACCTGGTCACTGGATGTGGGGGGTGATAACCTGCCTGGCTGGTGACCAACATGGCAGAAGCCCACATACCCCATGCCAGGGAAGGCCTGCAATTCCCCATCCTCCACCCACAACTGCCATTTACTGCATCAAGTTGTGGTGTCTAAAGCTTGGAGCAGCCATCTGCTTTCTGGCATCTCCAGAATTCCCCCCTCCACATCCACCACAGATGATGGTCCTCACATACAGCACAGCATCACCCTCTGCAGAGGTTGGGTCCCCAAAGTCAAGTGAGGTGTTCCCCTCACAGGGGACCCCAGGTCTCTGCCATATGGTCCCACACCTACATCATACATAGGTGCAATGTAATAATGCTTCCCTCACCCTTTTTAAAGGCGACTTACTTCCTGCAAAAGTTACTGCAATCATGTTCATTCACTTGCACATCCCCCCCACCCTGAAGGTCTACAGGCAGGCACGTGCTCTGCTCCCCGGGCAGCACCAGCCAGGGGCTTGGCAGGGCTCCACCTCCAGAAAGCCTCCAGCAGCACCAGTCTCCCCAGCTAATGGATATCGATCCCCAGCCCTGGCATGGGGTCAGGCGGTAAAGCTCTTCCTGAAGCTGAACCAGACAGAAATGCATCTTGCTTCACCCACTGGCACTGCGGGCAGTGAAACCCCAGCAAGCAAGGCCAAGGCCTGACCAGTGGGCACAACCACCACTCTGGGGACCAGCAGAGAGCCTTCCTGCCCCCCAAACACCTTATAGGGATGACAGTACTCCCAGACAGCACTGAGGTGACAAGGGACGTGACCAAGGTCATGCAGCCATACCCTGGATCAATGGACCTGGCCCCACACCCTTCCCAGCTGTGGCATCACCTCTGGTAGGCAATGTGACCATCTGTTGTGTTTTACTGAGACTCCACAGTAAACCTGTCCCTTTGGGGGGCTGGAGGAGCATCCTGCTCCCACAGCAGCAACATGACTGCAGGTAGGACAATTAGGAGCACTGGCAGCTGGCACTTGCAGGAGGAAAGGAGCTAGAACTTATTATATATAAATACTATTTAAGAGAAAATATTGTGATCCAGGACATCACTGGATGAATCAGCACACAGCAAGAGCCCCAGCACACGTGTCAAACCATTAAAACAGGCATTCAGCACAGTCTCCCAAGCAGGCAAGGCTGAGGCTCAACAACCCACTTAGCTGCCCCACATCACCACCAGTGAGATCAAGCTGCAGGAAAATGAGCCTTTTTTATGCCCACCATTCCCACGACAGGTTTTAAAGGAGAGCCATCCTTCATTTCTCAGCAGGGTGCCAGGGAAGCAGGCAGAGGGCTCGGTTTGGAGGGCAGGATGGCTCTGCATCACCTTCGCTAGACGCAGCCCGCATGCTCTCTGCTACCGCCTGGGTGCATTGCAGCTTGGACCATGGCATATGACATCACTAGGCGTTGCTACGGAAATGAGTGCGAGGTCATCAGCCTCCCGCACAACCGGGGCTGGGGGCTGGGAGGCACAGGGATAACCGGCTGGGACATGCCCACCGCCGCCGGACCGGCCGTGCCGGGGTTCGGGCAGCGCGGTGCAGGAATGAAGAACAAAGCTCTGCCTTTTGTTTGCCGGGGACGGGAGGCGTCAGCGCTCCCGCTGGGAATCGTTTCCTTACGGCCAAACTACACGGCAGCTGATAAGCGGCGTTAGCCCGGGTTACTGTTTCACCAGGGCCTGTAAGGACTAGCAGGAAAAATCGTATATATGATCGCTAGAAACGCCTTGGGTTTGAACAGCCAGCCCGGGTAAGCAGGTTAGGGAAATTCACACTGCAACACGCCCGGCCGTGTGTCCCAGGCAGATCCCTGCTGGCTTTGTCACGGGGGCTGTATTATCCGTAGGAAATGAGCTGTAGGATCTGCTCACACAGCAGGCTTGGCTTTAAAATGAATAGATGCCGCTATCAGAAAATGGTATAAAAGCCACAGTGCAGCAGAGGGACAGCCCGGCTGGTTTAATGTGATAATATCTCGTCCCGATTATCCGTATTTCATTCCTTGATAAGACATCTCCTCCCTCCCTGGGCTCGGGCTGTGACAGTTGTGTCTGTTTGATAAATGCAAGGTTATTGACAAAATGGTGCAATCTGGGCAAACAGAGCTGCACCCACGGCAGACTGCGACATTCCCAGATCAGCATTCACTTTTCATCAGCCGGGGAGGACACCCCAGCTCCCAGCAAAGGTTCAGACCTGACTAAGAAGACAAACATAAAGAACAGTTTTCCCCTTTAAAGCACCCCCTCCCTCCCTCCACCCAGTCTAGCCTCTCTGCAATATGACAAATGCAGAATCTTCTGGAATGACTTGATCCTGCCTCCCACGATTGCTTTGTTTGCAAGATCAGATCAGAGATATGTTTTTTTTTCCCTTCTTATATTGTCAAAATGTCAGTATTGAAGGGGAGCGTTCAGTGTCACAAATCAGATCAGCCTGCTATATGCAGAGTCTTTATTTTAAGAGCGTGAAATGAATACAACATGACTCAATTCATAAATCTCCAACCAAGAGCAATAAAAATAAGGGCTTTGGCAGTGAAAGGGCTCCTGATCTCTGGGGTCAGGGGCACACACCATCCCCAGTGACCACGCGTGGGAAGGGATGCACGGGGAGGTATTTTGGCAGCGGGGAGAGGTGTGGACACAACCCCCCCCCCCGCTGGGTCCCCCACTGCCTCCCCCCGCTGGGACCCGAGCCGGTGTGACCCCCCCAGGGAGCACCACACCCCCGGGCTGGCTCCTCTGCCCCCCCACGCCAGGGCAGGGCAGGGCAGGGAGGGGGGCACGGGAGAGGATGTGTGGGGCAGGCAGGGGGGCCTGGTGTGGGGAGAGAGAGGGGATGGGGCTGGGAGGTGATGTTGGGGGACTACAGGGCAGGGGAGGCAACGCGTGGGGGTTCTAAGGCAGGGAAGATGATGCGAGGGTGCTCCAGGGCAGGGGGCAGCTAAACAGGGGAGAGGGGCAGGGGAGGCAATGCATGGGGGTTTAGGGCAGGGGGAGAATGAGAAGGAGGCTCTAGGGCAGAGAGGGGAGATGTGCGGGGCTGGGTGGGGGCCCCAGAATAGGGGAGAGGATGAAGGGAGGGCTCTAGGGCAGAGAGAAGGGGATGTGTGGGGCTGAGAGGGGGCCCCACAATAGGGGACAAGATGAAGGGGGGGTTCTAGGGCAGAGAGAGGGGGATATGTGGGGCTGGGTGGGGACGCCGGAACAAGGGAGATGATGATGGGGGGTGTTTAGGGCAGGGGAGCAGGGTGTGGGGGGCTAGGGGAGGAGCCCCAGAACAAGGGAGCAGGATGCGGGGGCGCTGGATGGGGGGCTCTAGTGCAGGGGAGAGGATGCGTGGGGGGGCTCTAGGGCAGGGGACGGAGATCGGGAGAACAGCAGAGCATCCCTGCGCGGGGAAAGACAACGGGAACGGGACCCAGGCGGGGGGGTGTCGGGAGGGCGAGGGGCCGGGGCCCGCACACCCCCGCGGCCCCCCCCTGCCCGAGCCCCCCCCACCCACCGCGGGGGCCACGCGGGGAGGGCGCGGGGCGGCAGGAGGAGGAGGAGCTGTGTGCGCGTGTGTCTGTGTGTGTGTGAGCGGGGGAAGCCCGACGGCCGCGGGACGGGACTCACGTTCTTCATGGCGGCCGCCATGTCGTCGTATCGCTCGGCTTGCTCGGCCAGCCGGGCCTTCTGCACCAGCTGCTCGCGGTCCACCATCTTCGCGGGGTCCGGGAAGGGGGGAAGAAGGGGGCGAGGAGGCTGCGGGCTCCGGGAGGAGGAGGAGGAGGAGAAGGAGGAGGAGGAGGAAGGAAGGAAGGAAGGAAGGAAGGAAGGAGGAGGAGGAAGAGGAGGACAGGCGGGCGCGGCGGTCTGGGCGCTGCTGCGGCTGAGGCGGCTCCGGCGGCGGCGGCTGCGCCCGGTGCTGTGCGCGCGCCGCGGGCCACCACAACCCCCCTGCGCGCGCCCCGCCCCGCCCCGCCTCTCTTCGCCGCTCCGCCCACCCCTGGCGCGCGCGGGGCACGGCGGGGGATGGAGTCCGCGGGGCGGGGACGATACCGGGATTACACTGAGCTGTCTACACTGCGAGGACTACATCTCCCGTGATGCCTCGCGGCAGGGCCCGCCCCCCTCGCCCCGCCGGGCCCCGCCCGTGCTGATTCACCGGGGCCCGGCCCGGGTGGGCCGCGGAGGGCGCGGCCGGGGCCGGGGGGAGCGGGGGCGAGGGGGGGACCCCACCGGGGCCACCGCGGGACGGAGGGAGCTGGTCGTGGTGCGGAGCAGCGCGGGGCACGGGACGCGCTCACAGCCTGGTGTCACCACAGCCCTGACCCGCGCGCAGCGTGGGCTCACAGACTGGACCCGCTCAGAGCCCACGCACACCACACACAGCCCGTGCCCACCGTGCCCACTCACAGCCTGGTCCCATCACTGCCCTGACCCGCTCACGGGCTGGACTCACAGACTGGACACACTCACAGGCCACACACACCATGCACAGCCTGTGCCACCTCATAACCCAGAGCCACTCACAGCACAGTCCCACTCATGGCCCAGACCTGCTCACAGCCCTGATCTGCTCACACCCTGGTCACACTCACAGCCTGGACCCTCTCACAGCCCAAACCCACTCACAGCCTGGTCCTACTGGCAGCCAGATCCCACTCAAAACCCTGATGCACTCACAGCCCAGATCCGCTCACAGCCCAAACCCACTCACAGCCTGGTCTCATTCACGACCCAGATCCACCCACAGCCCAGACTTACTCACAGCTTGGACCCACTCACGACCCACCCAGGTCCACTCATCCCAATCCCACTCACAACCCTCATTCACTCACAACCCAGACCCCACCACATCCCAGTCCCACTCACAGCCCAGGCATGGACCATCCTTCCACGGAGACCCTGCCTGTGGTGCTGTGCCTGGGGTCTGTGATGCTGTGATGGTGCTGGGCCAGGCTCTGGTGACATATCTTGGGGCAAACCCCTGCTTTCCACCACCCCCTTTCCCCTGCCACGGGCTGGGGCCCTGACACATGGAGGAGAGCATTCCCACTGGAGAGCAATGCTGGATAATTGATGGCAGCCAGCTTGGGCACGCAGTGCACTTGCTCATCAATAACCCATGGGATAAAAGCACATGTCTGCTCCAGCCATGCAGGGCTCCTGCTGCGTGAGAAGCACCATTTGGAGCCATAAGACATCCTGCTTTCCTAAAAAACCTATGGATAAAGTGATGTTGAGAGGAGGCTGCAGCACTGGGAGAAAGGAACAGGGTTTAATGTCTCCTGTTTTTCTAAAAAGCCTGTGGATAAAGCAACACTGAGAGGATGCTGTGGCACTGGGAGAAAGGAAAGGCGTCTAATGTCTAATGAATGGCGCTGCGCTGATCCCAGTGGAAGCACTTTATCCTGCCTGGAGAGAGCCAGGCAGTGCTGGTACATGGGAAAACACCGTCCTTCTTCACATGCCACTGTCCCCATGCAGATGCTCTGGGAGGTGTGAGGATGATCTCAGAGCACTCAGCCATCCCACTTGCTGATCCCCATGCCCTGAGGTTTCCTTCTGAAACCTCACAGGAACCCTTGGTGGCACCAGGATGTGCCAGTGTCCTCAGGGCAGTGCTGTGGCCACAGCCTGCTGTGGCTGTCCAAAACCCATGGCCACAGCCTCACCCACATGGGAGGGGACAAACTGGTTTGGGAATGCTGCTGGTGGTGCTTAATGATGGCGAGCAACACCCTTATGGGGTGAGATCTCCGTCTTTATTGTGGGTTTAGCACTGCTTTACAAAAACACAGAGAATTGTGTTGCCTGGATTCATTTAAGACAAAATCCTTCTTTGTTTACGGCTTCCGAAGGCAGAAGAAATCCCCCCCCCCGATAAATAAAACCAAAAACGCGCCCGGATCCTCTGCATTTCCTCTGCAAAATCAAACACTGTCTTCCTTGCTCGCATCCCTCGGCCTCACACCCCGCAGTGCACGTGGCTCCAGAGTGAGAACAGCCTTTGTGCCTGGCTTTTGTTTACTGCCCCAGCCATCCCAAGGAGAGCTCCCACGGACAAGGGCAGTTTATTCCTCTCCTCTGATAAAGGCTCATTCATTCTCCTGAGGGGGTTCGCCGTCATCTCTGGAGAGCTCCGCAGAGGGGTTGTGTTGTTTTCTCTCTGATGCCAGCTTTGAGAGAGAATTTGAGTGGAAAAGTGCGGAATGCAAGAAAATATTAGACGAGTTTGGTCACCAAATTGTTTTTTTTCAGCTATTGCTGCCATTTCTAATCAATAATCTGGAGGTACCTAGAAATTCCTTGGGGCATCACCCAAGCCAAGCAGGACTATCAGATCTCTGCGTATGGATCAGAGCAGACTCCCTGCTCAATCCCCTTTGGAGTGACGCTGCTACATTTGGGTTGGATATATGCAACCTCCTATCTTGGAAAATAAATAATATTATACTTTAGCTACAATTCCTGGGTTCTCCTGGACAATATTGGACACAAGCCTGGACCTGAAGAAGTACTTGTATATCTGGAAGATCCTCTGATTTCTCCAAATATATCAACAGCCCTAATAAAAACTGTTGCCTTTCCATACAAACCTTATGACTCCTATCTAGTATTTTCCATAAACCCAGCAGGTTCTCAGCCAGCTCAGCTCTGCCGATTTACAGCGACCCTGTTTTTGCCCCAAAACAAGCAAATAGTGATTTATTTCTGTCAAAGCACCAGAGCCATAAATACATTTCCTAACGCAGATGATTTTCTTCCCCATCACAGGTCAGAACAGGATATTCATAATGCTGTAAATTCTTCAGAATAGCAGTCTGGCTGTAATATTTATCTGCAGCAGATCCAGCCCCCTTTTGGGGCTCCCATGCATAAATCAACACCCCTCACAACAACTAATTCCTCTGTTTTACAGCCAGGGCAGCGGGGGGGTTGAAGGTTGGATGCTGAACGGGCTGTTAGAAGCTTCTGGTGGGCAGCTGGAGGTGTCACCTGGCTGGACATCACTAAATCCCCTTCTCCCACCTCTTTCTGGTGGCTACAGACACCCCTTGGTGAGAGCCTGGGGCGGCTGCTGTGTTGGGAAATCACGACGACCCAAAGGATACGGGTCTGTTCTGCAGATGTCCCAGAAAAACCTAATAACCTCGATTCTGCCTACGGGATTAAAAATACTTCGGCGCATTCAAATGTGCCACTTTGTTAATTCCTGTGGCCTGGAAGACGAGTCTTTCTCTTTGCATTTTCTTGCTTTACCCGTTGCGTCTCGTCAATGCCTTGTGACACCGTGAGGGAAGGCAGGAAATTCTCTGTGACTTGGAGGTTTGCTTGGGTTTTAGCTGCTGACTGCTCCGAAAATGGAGCCAGAAATCCTCACCCCTTGCTTGCTGTGGGAGTGCAATGGCTGTGTGTCCCTTTCCATCTGCCCTTTCCCTCCATGTCTGCTTGCTTGGAGGGAGGGAGATGCTATGGGGGCTGCGTGGTGCAGGTATCTCAGCCTGTCCCCATGTCACGAGGTGTCACCACAGGGGCACTGTCACACCTGTCTCACCTTACACCAACAGTGACCCAGTGCTTGGGGTCCTGCGTGTCTTCAGCCAGTGGGTGGCAAAGCTGGGCAGAACAGGGGACACAGGGTGGCATTCCCCTGGGCCACTGTGTGGGGTCCCATCCCATCCCTGGGATGCTTCCCAGGCTCCTGCACAGCGCCAGGGCTCCCTGCCTGGGTGCTCGCCCAAAGTCCTGCTGCCCAACTCCTACTGCTTGAGTTACGCTGAGGAAGGTGCTGGCTGCCCAGAGAAGCAGTTCTGTGACTCTTGCAGTTATGCTGGTGAAACACAAGCTGAGGAAACCTCTGTTTTCACTGTCCCTTTCTCTGAGGTTGCAGGACAACAGTGCCCTCATGTCCTCCCTGCCTGAATCCTTGCTGGGCCAGAGTGCCTGTCCCCAGCACCGCAGCACTGTGGCCCCTGGTCCCTTTTCCACATTGTTGCCCTGAGCCTGGCTGTGTCACACAGCAAGGAAGACATCCCAGGAGCAGGCCAAAGGTGTCCCCTCTCCCCTTGCACCCACCAACAGCCCTCCCCAGCCTCTCAGCTCAGTCCTAGCCCAACACGCTCCACCCTGCCACACACCAGAGCAGGGGGGTCACACCAACCCCAAAGAAGGACCCCACAGCCAACACCTGGGTGAGCTCAGGGGTTCACCAGCCCTCCCTCAAACACCCCAGAGCCAGAACACCGCCTCACCTGGGGCAGGAGGCGGTGGAGGAGCCATGGCTGCTGGGGCTGATGCCACACTGAGGGTGCTTTGCAAGGAGCTCCTTCCCCCCGTCTGCAGAGCTGCCGCGCCTTGTACCCAGTCCTGGCCTTTCATCTCAGCCTTTCAAAGCACTTTCTGAGTCCAAATTAATTCTGCTGCAGCAGCTGCCCTCCCATGCTGTTTAGCATAAGCTCTGCCATGAAGCGGGGCTGCCCCTATCCCTCAGGGCTTCCAGGGATGGTTTTCCCTGGAACAATCTCAAGCCAGAGATGAGATGGGAAAGCTCCCATCCCACTCTCCCCTTATCCCTAATACCCACTGAGAACTGCTGCAATGCCCATGCCACACCATCCTCCACTTGGAAAATCTCCCCACAGCCTTCCTCCCAGCCCCCGGGAAGATGCTCCCACACGGGATGTGTTCCCATGGGAAGCCAGGATGCCCTGGGGTGGCTGGGTTATCATAGCTCGCCCTGGGTGCTGGTGGGGAGCTGGGGGGACCCGGGATGCAGGATCCCAGCGGGAAGGTGGGCCAGGACCAGGCAGGCATGCTGCTTCCCTGCGGGGCATTAATAATTAAGCAG